TTTTTAATTTTCATCTCGTGTTAGTAGTTCAATTTTTTGTTTTTTTGTTGCTTGTATTTTATTTCATTGTAATTTCAGTTTTTTTGCTGAATATAATTGCTCTTTTTCAGGAAATCTTTTTAATTTTAAGAGATTTTTCCAGGGATTTCAAATCAATTTACTTATATCAAATTAGACAATGAAAGTCCGAACTAATGAAATGCAACACGAAACATTGTCGACCACCTTCAAACAAATATTGAATTCTTGTCACAATGCTGTATAATTTTGAGCAATTTTAGGTGTTTATAACAAAAAATTGAAATAACTTTGCACCAAAACCCTTGAAAATTATTTTACACCAAAGAATTACCGTGGTGAACAGAATAGTTCGGTAATTTGTTGATTACCGACTTTTCACCGCAGTATACAGGATGTCATCGATTTATCGTTTGGCAAATTTTTCGAAATTCCTATTTGAAAAGATTGGTAAAAATAAGACTCTACTGAGATGATCATCATGACTCCAAATCTAAATATATTTTTTGATGCTGAACAACTTTTCTGATAATTATTAACACACGTATATTACCTACGTGTGTTTCACTATATTTTGTTGGCGCGGTATGTTTACTTTCCGAGGATGCACAAACTCTTACTAGGAGTTTTCTATTCCTTACTTTGGGGTGACAATGTATATGAAAAATCATTGATATCTTCGTTGTACTACTTACTCGAAATTTAATATCGAAAGCACTTATCTTCAACACCTCTCTGGACTTCTGATGACAAAAACACACTAGATTACGATTTTATTAAAAAATGAAGAAAAAAAACTTTCTATGTTTTCCAGTTTACTGCAGTTTCACAGATTTTTTTATAAAGATAGAAAGTCAAGAAGCTTAATTCCCATAAACTTTTCTCTTTCAATTCCATAACGAATGTTTGGAGTATAAATTGGATGGAAAAAAGCTATTTTTCATGTAATTCAATGTTCATGTGAAAGTAGTTGTTATGAAAGGGCCTTGCTCTTTCAGTTTGTAGCTGAAGTGAATTTTTAGGTATGATCTACATATCTTCGTAAAGAGTTTATTCTGAACTTGATTAATAATAATGTGATAATAATAATGTGAAATAATGTAAGAAAAAGGCTCCTCTCGAGTATCAGAGTCATTTTGAAGCATTTGCAACTTCACAAAGTATTTCAACAACAAATTATCCAACTATAGGAAGAGTAATTATTTTTCTTCAAAAAGTACCAATGACAAATAAAATATTGAATTTCATAAGGAACCAACAATAATCCCCCATCATTGCTGCATCCCATCTGCATTGGAAACGTTGCTCCATTGTCAGTATGACTCGGTGACTTTCTGGAAAAAAATTCAAATGGGAGTGTAAGAAATGGATTTTGAGAGACATGCGACATCCCATTCTGCAGTAGTATTCAAGTAGTTCTTCTACAATTGTTTCGTAATTTTCTACTTTCTTGTTCCCTAAAAACTCGGAAACAATTCCACGCAGCTAATTCAACATTACTTAATTTATGATCAAACTGTTAATCACTCAGTAGTTTTCTAATTTGTGGTCCAACAAATATACCTTCCTTGAGTTTTGCATCACTTAATTTTGGAAAAATGTGTTTGAGATATTTAAACGCACCACCTTCTTTTTCTAATGTTTTTACAGTTAAATGTGTAATGGAGGTAACAAAACGTTTTTGGGATTAACAAGAGGTATATTCTCCACGTTAGCTTGACCTGGAATATATTTATCTCTCGGGGGCCATTATTTTACTTGATAATGGCTCTGTGTTGCCCTACTGTTCCAAAGGCAAATAAAACAGCAAAACTTCGTAAATCCGCCCTGAAGACCTAGTAATAGTTCTATGGCTTTTAGGTCACCACATATTCGCCACTTATACGTATTATAACTTGCATTTATAATAAGTGACATACTTTCGTGTGTTTCCTGCATGTGCAAGAGGAGTAGAGGGTCTTTTGTTACCATTATGGAGCAGAGCGGCTTTAAAACTTGTTTTAGGCGAATCTATAAATAAACGCCATTCATCAGGGTTATGTGCATAGTATAGGATAGCTCATGGGTACGGTTCCTAAATATCGCAACTTTGGTTTGAGGGGCTAGTAGATTCCATTGTTGTAATCTAGGCCCTAATAGTTCAGCATTCTCTTTGGACAAGTGGAGTTCCAGACCTAGGTCTTTAAATTCAGGTTGTTCGATTAAATGGGGTGTTCTTCCTTCACTTTCGGGAAAATAAGGACTGTCTTTCTTTGACTTTTATAGCGATTTCGTATTCCTGGTATTTTCTGGAAACTTCGAGTATCGGAAGTTAGAGAAGCGGCGTTACAAGTCTCATACACAGCGGAAGCAGATTCGAATACTGGGCAGAGCCGCTGTGTTGCCGGATTTTAAACAATTTCCTATATTTAGGGGAAAAGCAAATTTGGAATATCTTGTTTATTGAATTTTTGTGAAAAAAATCATAACTCAAAAATCTTACGTGTTAGGAAATGTTTACTATCATTTTCGCATTTAGGGACCAAAAATTAACAAAGACCTAGCTTTGGCATTACAGTCGTGAATTGGCTGTAAACTAGTGTATTTATCGGAGAATCAGTCAGATTTCATGTTAAGATGAAAAGAAACTAGGTTCAATCAAATCATGCTAATTCAAAAATTTCTAACTTTAATTTGAATTGTCGTTACTGTAAGATGATTTGAGTGAGAAATTTTGTTATTCACTACCAGATCCAATAGAAGAACTAACCTTTTATAGTGATTTCAAAGTCTTTTCCAATTTTTTTTCAGCTTTTTCACTCCATCTGAAATATCAATGAACCGATGATGAAACTACAAATCCAGCAAAACCACTTTTCTCATAATTGGTCGGCAAAACCAACGGCGAAAACAGTGTTACAGTCCTAGTGTATGAGAGAAATATTTTTGTTGGATTTAGTCTACAAAACTTCAATTCTCAATTCCAGATTCAACAAATTATGAATTTTGTTAGTATATTTTTCAATTAGGTATTTACACTTATCCACTTCAATAAAAAAGTTGAAAATAATAAGTCTGGAATGTAGAAATTATGAAAAATATAATTTCATCTGGGGGTGGGGGTTGGTGATTGGCTTGTGTATATTTCAATTCCAGGAAGACCATGTGCGACCAATATAGCTTGATACAAAGCAAAAAAGGACATGTCCGTTACTCCAATGCAAATCTTTATTTACAGAGTTGTTCGGTCGATAAGGAGTATTATCTTGAAGTTATGCATTGCTTGCGAGAAACAATATATAGAACATGTCCGGCATTGTGGAAAAACAAGTGTGGTTTTTGAATCACGTCAAGGCACTTCTCGTCATCGCTTGTTCGTAATTTTTCAGCCAAAAACAACAACGTAATCATGCTTCAGACACCGTATTCACCAGACTTGGCTCCCTGCGACTTTTTCCTGTTCCCAAAATTGATGTTCTTTGAGAAAAATTAAAATTCACCTCATTTCTCGAACAGACAAATTCATATAAAGAAATATTAGTGAAGTGACACTGAGTTAGTTACAATAACGCGACCGAGTATAAATGAAGGTAGTTTTTGGAGGGAGGCGATGGTTTATGGTATGGTACTAAAACCAGCAAGAAATGGTAAAAAACTGTGTATTTTCAAAGTCATAGAATATATATCTACCTACAAAAATATTACCTTGTTCTACATTATACAGTAAATAAATCAATAACCCAAAGATTTCATGATATTTGTCATTTAAACTCACATTAGGTTTTGAATATTTCAACCATTATTGAAGGCCAGAGAAGAAAGTTTTTCTTGTTTTGTACTTACATTTACACACAGCACCCATCGCATTCAAATATATTATTTGGAATTCAAATATATATCTATAAATTAAAAATAGTAAACCTAAACATGAGCAAACCATTTCACCTCAAACCTATTTCAGTGGTGAATATAAACGAATAATTTCAAGTCAAAATTGACAATGTTTAACAGAATCAAACCTGAATCAATAGGTAATCGTCAACTTTCTTTGTGAATAATATAATTTGTTCGTGAACATTTTCATGTGGAAAAATGGAGTAACATTTTCTGAGTATTCAAATCTGAAAGTTTTCTTTCAAATAGTTTCGTCATTTCCAGTCAGAAATGTCTGAGAGAATCCTATTGAATATTCGAAATTCAATTTGACACGTCTTTATAACAAATTGAAGAATATATTTATACACTGATAAAAATAAAAACTTGAAAATATAAAAGTATTTCAATATCCAGGAAGGGCCAATTGGCAGGAAGACATTGCTATAATGAAAACTATCACATTTTATTTTCAAATTCGATACCTGAAGCAGGTAGAAGAAAGTGAAAAAATCAACCATCGAGATTTCCACAACATACTTTTAACAAAGAACTTAACATATTTCAAAAAGTTGTTTTTTGCGTTGTTAAAAAGTGGAGTTGATGAATTACGAAAGAATCTCACATAGTTGATTTTTTATTCTTCCATAAGGATGTCGGGAACAATCATCAATAATGCCACTAATCAAATCAATATATCTCGTTTCACTTGATGAAATTTATTTCACGTTCCATGGAATGTGCACTGTTCACTTTTTCCTACCCCTTTCGAAAGTTTTTTATTCAATATTTCTGTACATTGGCCATAGGCACATCTTTAGGTTTATTAGGTTGGCCCACGTGTCCGGGAGCTAAGTGTAGAGAGCTGAGTCTATTTGCGCCCCTGACGATCCTCCATATTGCAATGACCAATAGGATTGCTCCAACTACAAAAAGTATTATTGCGAGGACGACTTGTGCTATTGGCGGTATTTTTGTGGCCAGCTTCATCAGGCCAGTCATTTCTTCGGGAAGCGAATCCAAACCCTGCAAAAAATTATTCAGTGAAGCTATCATTGAAGAACCTTAGATAATAATTGATACATCTAAAAAACATTTATAATTATCATATCAAATAAGATATTCAATAACTATACAGTAGGTAGAATAAATAATAGTGATATAATTTCATTTCAAATACATCTCTCAAATTTACATTATTTAACAAAATGTTATACTGATTTGATTGAACTTAAACAATAAAGAATAAAACTTTCAATGAAGCAATAATTATTTTAACAAAATTAATAAGTGTTATATCATTCAATNAAGAGCTCCTGCTCTTGAAAAGCAAACTTGGAATGTCGTGTTCATTAAATTTTTGTGAAAAAAATCATAACTCAAAAATCTTACGTGTTAGGAAATTTTTACTATCATTTTCACATTTAGGGACCAAAAATTAACAAAGAACCGCCTTCGGCATTACCGTCGTAAATTGGCTGTAAACTAGTGTAATCAATTTAACGTTTCTCAACGTTTTCCCGGGTGATGCCTTTCTATCACTCGGAATTTTATTACATTGATCTCCTGATATTCGAAGTTTCATGATACTCCACATTCTGATGGAATATATTTTGGAATAATAGCATTAACTAACTTTTGAATTTCTATATTTTACTCTCAAGATTCTGCAGTGTAATTCTTCAGTTAGTGAATCCTATGTCGTTAATTATAACATTTGTGTCTCCCTAATTTAACCCCTCATTGTTATAGCACTGATTAGGTAACTTTCGAGTTTTCGAACGGATTCAAAATAAAAAATACTAATGAACTCACCTCTTCAAACCATATTATAGGGAATATTATATCCGGAAAGGTGGCAACTTGTTTTATGTCTACAACTTGTGACACGGCCAAGTTGATTTGGACCCGAACTTTCGCTGCCATAGCAGTACCCATCATCTGTAATAATAAAAATAATAGATGATAAAAAAATTAATCCAATATACCTAACGACGTGTTCTTCCTACTGAATCAATGATCTCAAGTAAAGTATAAAAAAATATTGTACAAATTGTTGAGCTTACTGACAAGACATATAGAGCAGACTCCGAGAAATATAATTATAAACAGTGTTGCATACTATTTTATGATAACTAGTATCGTAAGGAATATCACTGGAGTTTTTTCCCAACATCAAATCGTTATTTTTAACACCTCGACACGTGTTTCGATCACCAAGTGATCATCTTCAAAGAGGAAGATTAATCTGATCGAAACACGTGTCGAGGTGTTAAAAATAACGATTTGGTGTTGGGAAAAAACTCCAGTAATATTCATTTCTACACCAAAGGTTCCAAACAGTGCATCATAAGTAGTATCGTAAGTAAACATCACACGGAACGTGAAATTAATGAACTATTGAAATCAATCCTGGATTCGTCTGAAGTTGCACAAAGAATGATTAAGAACTAATCGCCATTTTCTCGACATTTTCCAATACTCAAATTTAATTTTTGCTAAGATGAAATACTTAGCTAAATTAGGCAGCAATTACGAAATAGATCTCAAGATAGTGTCTATCATCAACATAAAAATGATGATTTCCGATAACTGAAAATCGAATTCCCTCAGAGTAACATTCCTCAAACTTGGCTGAAGTGGACAACAAACAGCAGGTTTGTCATCGCCCCATCTGTCTGTGAACGAGGTAAGCAACTGCATATCCGAAATTTGTCCAACTTTCTTCGAAGTCTTCAAATATGCACTGATGATTTGGTTGGTTGAAGATATAGTTGAAATGAATAAGTGATAAAGATACTTCAGGATTATCTTCAATTAGCAACCTTTCATGCCTTGAATGGATCTACTCATTATATAAATCCAAATTAAATATAAGTACCATCTCTAAGATCTTTCAACTCCGCATATTAAAATGGTTCAAACTCTATGATCCACTCTTCAAAATATAGTATCATATAGTTGAAATATTTTACAAGCACTATCTATCTTCAAATGTAAGAAAAAAAAGGTTGTGTATGGGATATCAGCAAAATTTTTCATTCGTTTGAAAGACCTATCGAAACCATTTATGTGTGAAATATAACATCGTTCAAATATCTGCCACGGCTTCTCTGGGTAGAGCGCATCCGAGACGTCTAATTTTCCATGACTCTAGCGCATAAATCAGGCTGAATTTGACCGTTGGCATGGAATCGCTGTGGTTTGTGGCTTATTCGCATATACCTGCAACTTGAGGAAACCCCACAAAAAAGGCTAACAGGATCAAATCACACAACCCAAACAGCATCAGATATTCATGGAATATTCCCTGTATACAGGGTGTCCCTGGACTTCCTTAACCTTTTAGAAAGTTTTGATAGAAAATGAGAAACTGGAATGCGATTTTGTTTTGTTGAGTGGTGCGTTGTCATATGACTATCATTGTATTGTCAATATTCTATAGGATATTTTGAATTTTTTTGATATGGCCGAACAGTTTACATTCAGATATGCATTCAGATACAAGCCTTTAGAATATTCATAGAATATGCTTGAATGAATATGGCAGGATTATTCTCGAAAGAATGTACATAGAATGTCTATAAATGGATTATTCTCCTGTGAATATTCTAAGAATATTGTCGATCGAATATACCATATGGTATATTCTTAGAATATATCCCCACGGTATATTTTGGAATATTCTATATAATGTATTACTGGAATTTTGAATTATTTTATAACGTATTCAAATAATTCAATATTATTTAAAACAAAAATATTTGAAGATCTTAATCGAATGCATAACCTAATGTATATAACCCTGATAGTGTTAATCAGTTTTTGTACTCAACGCAAATATTCTGATGAATTGCTCCAACTGCAACTGTTGGAAGCGACAAAAAAATTCGAATGGGCCAATAAATGAACCAATTGTATCAATAAATCGGTTTATTTTCATCCTATTTGTCTTTTTGTATTTGAAATTATTCAATTACAAACCGACAAATCCTGGCAACAGAGAAATGGGGAAGTAGGTATTGAAGTAAACGTTTCTCATTGGTCAATTGAAATGTAGCGCGCGACAGACAACGACTTTGCGTTGAAATCGACATTTGATTTAACATGGCGGTTGACGTGGCAGGTTCGCGTGTGTAATGCATGGTGTATTGGTGTTATTATCAAAGTATAATTCTCTCATGTTGAGTATACCATTTATAATTTGGGGTTGTCCAATTTGCAGTACAGCGAATTGTTTGACTTTGCATCTTCAAACAATAGAGTTGCATATTCAGTCTTTAAGAAAAGTAAGTGAAAGGCAATAGTATCGATAGTAAAGTCATGGTGACTAACCTACTATACCTCAATTCAGGCTCGAGGAGAGTTGGTGTGTGGGATTTGTTGGTTTGACTAAGTACATGTTTACTAGAGTGATTTCAGTTGTGTATCTTCACTAGAGAAAAGTAAGTAAATGGCACATTCTTTTGTATCATTTGTTTTCATAATTTTCATAACTCTTTTTTAAGATAGTATCAATATGCCTAAAAGAAAACGGAGTGATACCTGATACAGGCAGGTGCGCCAAGAAACTGAAAACGTAATGAGTACTTTTCAACAAGGGAATGCAAGTTGCCCTCCAAGTCATGAAACGTTGTAAATGTTCATGAGGAACCTATGAGAAAATTATCTAATTGATTTTTATTCCAGTTTTATTGTGCCACTTTCAAATAGTGAATGAACGTTAATGTGCATTTTGTTCCAGGTATTAATATTGAAACCCTGGCTGATGCATTGTTGGACAAATATCAGTAAAACTCTTCTGGTGAGCAACATTTTGATAAATTTAAGTAAGTGAAATTCATTTAGGAACCCATCATACCACTCATTTAAAATACTTCATTTGTGGGTTTATTTTTTAAAGCGAGAAACCTCACCTAACCTATAGTTTTCGAATTTTTGAGTTGTCATAACTTTGTTAATAATGAATATTTTTTCATGAAATTTTGGTCACACCTATTTGGAAGCACTCTGAATCCAGTAACGTAGTGATTTTTTCAATAAAAAAATCGCTAATAAAAAATCCCGATTTTCGACTAAGAAAAAATATAGTAGTATGCCCTGATTCTTTGATAAACATTTCAAATTTTGTCCCAAGGTAGACCTTTTAGTACTTGAGACATTAAAAAAAATATTCAAATCGGTTTACAACTTCAAATTTTAGGGGGGTGTTTCCATTAAAAATCTGTCACACTGTATATTCATTTCTTTCAGTTTCCTGATAGAGGCTTCTCAAAAGTGCTGACATTTTTTATTATATTTTGCATATCAATTGGACGAACTCACGTTGTTATAAGAGTTTTAATGATCGAAAAAGTCTAATGATTGAGCTTACTGGTAAATATATAGTACGAAATGAAATTAACTATAGAAAATCGAGTGTACTTCGTTTTTCACGAACTGACCAGTTGTAGATCACAAAAGGTAAAACCACTACTTACTGGTTGAATGTCCATATAGAGCGAATGCTTTTCTGGATCTGGAGGCGAGATACCATCTAGAGCGAGTCTGTAACTATCATTGGCAAGATAAAAGTGTGGAAAAGACAGTAGAACTGGAGAATCTGAAAGATAAAACAATATTTAATGAATACATTGTAATTCAAAGATACTTAACTTCGTAATGTATCATGGGATCAGTATTGATGTTTCTTGAGTAGATGTTATGACATTTTCAATTGTTTAATTCAGCAATATCTAGGTAGGTATAGTTCTATAGATTCAATTACTTTTTTATACATTCCTCTTTTCAATAAATTTTAGTGAGATAAATTTCAATTTTAACTATAAAAAAAAACATGTTCACTTCTTTGTTTGATCCCTTCTGATATTCAATACATTTCAGTTCATCTTCTGATCTTGATGAAGGCATCTATTATGATTCTAAGCCGTTACTAACGTTTTGTAATAAATGTGATTATAAGGATTTCAGAAAATATTCTGAAGAACTCAAATTGAATTCATTACCTAAGTTAATATTGTCGATATTTGTGAATTAATCGCTGATACAAAAGAGATCCACTCAGGACCATATTCTTTAATAACATATGACCGAAATCAGTAAAAAATTCAAATATGAATGATCTGCCATAGAAATATAAACATGAATAGTCCAGGAAATACATACTTAAAAAACTATACTGTTTTTGAAATGAGAAAATATATATTCTGATTTTTTCTAAATAACTTTAAATATATTGAGAACTAGCTTATTATATATTTTATTGAGTTGCTCGATTTTGCTTATTGAAAAATATATGGAATCATTTCAGCAGAACATGTTGGCAATAGATATTAAGATCATGCTTTTCTTGATTTTGAAAAATCGCTATTTGGAATTTTCATATTCTATCACAAATCTTTGACGGAACTGTATAACCTGAGGAAAGCCATCATGAAAAAATCAGAAATGGAAGTCGGTTAAATTAGAAAAAATTGTTTATCAATTCGAAAAATTCCAAAAGAACCGAAATACGCCAGTTCGCCTTTGTTTCTGTCGTTATTCATAAAGGTATCAAAAAACACAAAAAAACATCTCATTTTTCAAGTTATACAAGATAGGACGCTCTAAAATGGGCACCTTTATTTCAATTTAAGCGATCTTGTATGTCTCGTTCAAGGTTTGAGTTTAGGGTGTGAATAAACGAAATCTCGACCTCTAGAAAAAACGAAAACCAAGACAAATATATCTCAGTTTCATACCAGCAATATACGAAGATTGGAAATATTTTCAAGGAACTAGATATGAAGGTGGTATTCAAAACACGTCATACACTGCAGAGATTTCTAGAAAATCCAAAGAACAAAGTCGCGAATTCGGTAGTCTGGAATTTACGAAATTAACTGTAAAGACTGCGATGCAAAATATTATGGACAGACTGAAAGATCTATCAAAATAAGATATAAAGAACACTTAGTACATCTAAAATATGAAAGATCAGGAAAATCAGCTGTTGCCCATCATATTTTGCAACAAAACCATTCCATAGACTTTAGTTTATTAATATTGGTTAGACAAGTTATCAACTACAGGCAGCTAGATGTCTATGAGAGTGTAGAAATAAGCAAACATAATGGTATTATGAATAACGATGGTGGACCGATACCTAATAGTATACTATACAGCTTGTTGAAATAATATTTTAATTATTAGATTTACCTAAATGTTGGATAAAGCAACATGTAAAATTAATTTAGGACAATTAAGATGCAGGTACCTAGCAGAGGTATCTGTGGTATAAATAAGGATAATATTGATGATTCACTTGGTGATTGAAACACGTTTCGAGGTGTTAAAAATAACGGTTTGGTGTTGGGACTAAACTCCAGTAATATTCAAGAAAAACTGCTTGAGATCAATCAAAATGACGTAGGTTCTTTCTGAAAATTCTTCTTCACATACATGATCGTTATAAATGAGGACACATTCCGTCATCAATCATGTTGTTATTAATTTACATATAATATAACATAAATCTTGCATTACTAATTCATTATACCATTAAAAACAACAATACAAAAATAACATTTCAAAACGCTCAAAGATACGAACTTGTTTCCTCCTTTTCATAAAAGAGGATGTATGCATCTCCACTCACAAGCGATTTTGGTGAAATTGGTGACACGTGTGAATCATTGTATTCGTGCCACGTGCCAGTATAAGGATGTCTGCAGAATGCTGTATAATGTCCGCTGTAGGTAGATCCACTGTGATTCGAAAGGGCATATAGAATATAACGATAAGGAGTCACATTTTCTGATGCATAATTGTTCATGTCTAATCCATCTAGAGAAAATTCGATGGCAACATTTAACTTGCCTCTGAATCTTTTTGTTTGAGAAAATCTTTTGAAATGAATGACTAAAATACGGGGAAACTTATGGATCGATAAAGACTTTGTGCATTTTCTTCTTTCCTTGCAACTTGAACACGTACGTTTTTCATGTCCATCCAAAGTTTCCTCTCTTGGCCAGTTCTTTGTGGTATGGGGAGTGACAAATCCCAGAAAGGATCGAAGGTTACAGATGAGTCTCCACAATGTGTGCACTTCATCGTGGATTTCAATTGACCAACAAAATTATCTACAATTTTGGAGTTATATGTACTCAAATAAATCAGCCATGACTGTTCGGTTTTTCACTTTTTAAGGAGACTGTGTTCACTGCGCTATCAGATGAATCTTCTGACCACAATTTCTTGATAACTTCTGCGAAAGTTTTGATCAAAGCACCCTCCGTATTAGAAATATTAGTATTGATATCTTTCATGTACTCATCCTTTTCCAAATATTCCAGTAACCATCTCGTATTTGATAAATATTGGATTGCACTGTTCATGAAACAGGTGTTGCCAATATTTTTCAACCTATTAAGCCCAAGGGTTTTGACTAAGGAATGTATCACTGATTCAATTGTGTTGTTGGTGATACGTTCGCCACCGCTGTTTTCATTCCAGTAATCACGGATGTAATGATTCTTCCCAGTATTGGACCAACGGAATGAGGAATTTGAAGTAGAATTTCTTGAAACTGAATCAGAAATGCTCATGGTGGTTTTTTCGAATTTGTGAAAGATGATTCCAGAACTTGTTTATTCTCCTCTGCATCTTCTGAGACAATTGGGCAATGATCAATCTGCTGACTCCATTTTGCGTTGTTCATAGGAAATTTTGATTTGATTTGTGGGTTCAGGAATATTTCTTCTAATTTTTGAGTAGACGGAAGAGTACCCAATATCGATGTGGCATTACCCCTTTGAATGACGATACTGATTCTTTCAATCAAAAATGAATAGACTCGGTTGTCATTGGTAGAATTCATCTCTTTCAAAAATTCATAAGCATGTGATGAAAAGTGTTGTTTTTAACTGTCTTTTAGTTTTTAGTTATTTGATATCTAAAAAAACTGAAGTTGTGTAATTCTTCTGTTTCTGTGAGGAGATTGTTCAGAATGAAGAAATACTGTCTACACCAGAATATACATCAATAAAAGTGCCGTATGGATCTAGTAAACTTAGTTGCAAGCAGCACTCAGGTAGGTGATTTGTTATTATTCTGCAATAGACAAATTATTGAGTATTCACCATCTCAATATTAGGTATATAATGAATTCAAATAAACTATGATATATCTCATCTACTACAATTTTTAATAACTCAAATACATGAATTGTTATTTAGGAACATATTGTAAATGTATTTATTTTTACTTTTAATTTTTTTCATTAGCTTTTCTGAAAAACTGTAGGGGTGTATCTTTTTTCATGATCTGAACATGTTTTATTTATCGAGGATTTTACCAGTTCATTAAAAAGTTTGATTATTATTGTTTATGTATTATGAAATGTTTGGAATAAACTCATGTTCTGTTGCAAATCTGAAAAACTAAATTAGTAATGGAAAAAACGACGCTGGGTCGCCTTTTGCATACTTTGACGTCAACCAATCAGACTCTTCTACCGTCTTCTTTGAGGGAAATTAATGATATTTTCCTACTTGAAGTTGTTTTTTTTAAGGGTAGAAAGACTGAAGAGTCGCATCTATCACCCAGCAAATACCACTGATGAGATCTATAGCAGATCGAAACAATGTTGTCTGGTATAGGACTTTCGGGTTCTGGCATCCAATTTCTTGCTTGATGTAAAAGACGGGTTTTATTGAAATTTTGCGTAAATAGCAAGAGGAGCCAGTTTATTGATTGAACTAAATGAAAAAAGTCATTTGTACATAATTGTGAAAATAGACAGAATATTATGGTGGAAATAATCATGGAACTGGATTTTTCATATCATCGTAATTTATTTCAAGTACATTTATAAAGCTAACTTTGAACTGGTATTTTTTGTGCTTCATTTGAATGCAATCTAAATAAGTTTTCAATATTATAGTTGAATCCAGAAATTTTCAGGGCTGTAACAATGAATTTTATAAAGCATACCTGCCACAAACTGTATAACTGTTGTCATTGTAAGAAGTAACAATAAAATTATAATACAAACACTCACCGAAAACGAGTTTTTCCAAGTTAAAACTATAATTGAATTCAGAAATCATTAGACTTGTTAGATACCTATAAAAAATTAAAAACAATGACATGACACAATGACACAATTAGAATAAAATGAAGAAATAATTTTGCTATTTTACCGATCAAGTTGAAATATGCAGTATTGAGGTCATCGACATCCCTTCTAGTGTCTTATTTGAGGATATCATTTCGCTCAAAATTCTTTCGAATAAATATGATTGGATATCTAGAATCGAAAATGTTCTTGTACTATCTTTCATGATCAACAGGAGCTGTGGAGTTCCTGATATTGAGATTTTCAGCACCTCTCATGTGTTCAGATACTCGTGTTTTGAGATAACTTTCGGTTTGGCCAACATAGCATTTGGGACAATTTTCATAGTTCAAATTGTGAACTATGTTAGATTGTACATCTAGTGGTGTTTTAGTTTCCTGTTTAGAGGAAAAGCATTTTTCAATAGTATTCTCATTGGATAAGGCCACTTTGATTTATTTGTAAGTATAAGTAACAGACCAAGTTTTTTTCATATGAATTTTCCACATATGTAATTTCATGACATTTTGTGTTTGCTCTGGTATTTTGCGAAGAGGATTGGTTGGTTTTTGGATGAGGGGTTTCGAAGAATTATTTTTTGACAGAAAACCCTGGATTGCTGGAAGATTTTTGTGATAGGAAATTGTAATTGCTAATTTATTTCAGGATAGGAAATTGTAAATGCTCTCGATTTTGAGTTTTTTGTTATTTTAATTCCATTATGTAAATTGTATTTTTAACAATAATTCAAAAATATTAAAAAAAAAAGTTGGTTGTAATTATGTGTTCATAAAATTCATTGTTACAGACCCCTGAAAAGAATTTAATAAAATTCGAAATATCAGCAGGGAAACAATTGTTTTGAAATATGATCCTGTTAGTGAACAAACCTTCCTAGAAACAAGTTATTGGGATCACTAGATCATTTATCTGAAAAAATTCTTTTCACAAGTACTCTTATTCAAAAAAAACTGAAAACAAATCAGTTATCATATGTACTCACACTAAAGGCAATCTTCGGCAAAGGTCCTTGTCAAATAAATGAATAGTAGTATTCACAGTCATGTGTGGTGGAAAGATAGAACCATCTGAACCCATGACACTGTTGCATTCGTCTGAGCTATAATGTGTTAGATTATCCTTTCCGTTGAATTTGTCAATCAGACCATATTTCGATATGTCTTCAGACCCAGTAAATATTGTCAATGTGTCTTCTGAGGTACCATTTTTCTGAAAATAAAAATTGATGTCACTTCAACTGTGACGGTGGTTCTCAATACAGAAGTAAATTATCACTGAAATATGGTGATATCGTTCACTCTGTCACATTTCAAATAAAATGTAATGCCGATTATTTTGAAACAGCACCTTTTCATCACACTATATATATCATAATGAATAAGAAAAATAATATCAAAAATATAGGAATTGTTTTCAACAAGATTTTATTCAATTTGATCTATATGTTAGAATGTTAGTCAGGAACAAATATTGAAACTGAATTTGGAATCAGTTAACCTTGACCGATTGGGCTGAAATTTTCAAGACTCGTCTAGTTCTCGTAAGAATGCTCGATCATTCAAATGGCATTTCAAATCCATTATGGCGGACGTTAAAAAATTGCTAATTATCATTTTCATAGACCAAAACATACAGCAAAACTAGAAATTGATCGATTATTGAGACGTACAAACTGTAAAGTATAAACTGAAATTGCAGTGAAAACAAGTTTTTGAAGAAGCGTACTAAGTTAATGAACTGAAATAAATAAGTTTTGCTCAGAATATAGAATCAGTTCTAATTACTGAATATCGTTCCCAACTAACAAATTTATATTTCATAATGGTTGTGAAAAGGTTTTTGATTTCGTGACTATTTTATAACGTATTTATAATTTTATTTTATGAACGTTCCTATGACAAATTTATAAAACACTTTTATTGCCTACAACTATATCATATTCACGGCTCGTCTAATATAATCAGTTAGCATTTTGGAAATGATAATAAAATACCAACAAAATGAAACTGTTGCAGCACCATGAAATAATAAAACAATTTTGCTACTTGGGGTTATCATCGATCAAAATTCAACATAGTACTTGTATTTATTCACAGTTTTGCTGAAAGTATGTCGCATAATTCTTTAACAAAACAAATACAAATATACTTTGGTTAGTAGAAGCAATAAGTAGCTACTTCTATAAACATCTAGTGTTTATTATTATGTTTTGTAGACGGCATCGAGATACAATAAATATGTTATCGCTATCAAGAGTTAGGCACGGCCATATTATTAGGATGACGAAAGCACCTAGCCTTGATTTTTGAGCGAAATTTTGATGCAATATCGTTGACCGTCTAAGAAATCACATGTTGAAAAGTTAAATCTCTTTTATCAGTGTTTGCATGAGTTCCAACTTTCAAGAAATGAAATTTGTAGATGAAAGATGTAAAGAAGGTAAAAGGAATCACCTAGTCTAAACCCCATTCATACAGGTAATAGGTTTTGTACAGCAAGAAAATATCTGATGAACTTTTTTCTGATATATATGTAGAAAAATCGTCTATTTTTTGTTTCGAAAATTATGGTTAACAACATTTTCAAGATACATTTTTTTTAATTCCAATTTCCGGCGCTTTATAAATTTAGCTACGTCTGGAAGAAACGAAATGAAGAGGAAATTTCGAATATGGTGAATAACATAAGTATTATAAATCAGACTAAAATATAATAAAGATTGAATAAGAAACCCTACAGAATCGAAATGAAATTTAAAAGTTCAAGCGATCGTTGTCTCTACAATGGAAGTATTTGAGAAAAACCAAAACCATAATGATGATAATAAATAAAGAGCGATGGCCACTATCACCTGAAGCCTTTGGTGAGTTGCATCACCACTTACCTGGACAACCGGTGCAAAACCGGACAGGCAGCTCAGGCGCACCTGGGAGAACACTATTCTCCCTCCGGTGCCAGCGGTGAGTCTACAAGGCTAACTACCCGGTAGACCCAAAACTTGGTTCCTTAAAATCGAGGAAGTGGTCCTGACAATCGACCCGCTCGTAGAGGTCAGAGGCAAGGTGATGGGTACCATAACGAAGATTTGCCTACCGATGACAAACCCGGCACTGGCAACGGACGCCTTGAGTGAACGCATGAGCTGAGAGACAGCCTCGTGCGAAAAGGGTACATGGCAAGAATGTAGGATCTGTGGAATGGAACAAATCCTGAGCATGCCTCCTTCTTCACCCAAAACCTTAGGGATAACGAATCCTATTTTCGGCGGCGGGGCTATATAACTCTTTCCCAGCTTGGTAACGAAGTGACACTTCTACCACATGTTGACACGGCTAGAGAGGAGACTCGCATCATGCCATCGATGGAGATAATCAGGACGCCCCACAGAATTCGGCTTCTGAAGCCACAAGAACTGACAAGAGGTTCATTGTGTTTCAATAGATGAGGCTGACATCTGGCAAATCAACACCGCCTTGTATAGCGTCATCCAATCGCTTTCCGAATCGGAAGGACAAAATTTCGGCCTCGCGGTTCGGGAAATTGTACGGCATGTAAACAAGATGGAGGCTAAGATCACGTCGGCGAGACAACACGCGTTTCGTATGTGATGTGGATAACAGGGCAACAAACAGGCTTTTCATGCCCGCATTGCAGTCAATAGCCGCCAAACTACGACGTATTCATCACACTTCGAGTGTTGCCGACCACCAAACAGACTGCTTTGATAGGATACGAATGCTAGAGGCTGCTTAGAAGTCACTAGTGAGGCAAGCGAAAAATTATCACGGAACCTGAGGTTGTCCGTGATAATTTTCAACAGAGATCTTTGACAGCCACAGGTCAATGAACTGCGCAACTCGATAACCCCGGATGACGTTCAAAGAACCCTGGTGGGTTTTAAGAACTATGCCGCTCCAGGCCCAGATGAACTGAACACTTATTGGTGGAAAAAACTACCAAGTACCTACCACCGATAACATGATTAAATTCGTGTTATTGTTGTTTGCGTCGTGTTATTGTTTTTTTACGAGCATCATAAACACATCAATACTCACCGCAGTTGACCAAGTGTTCGAACATATATATGAGCACCATTACATCAAGGCATGACTTTGGGAATATTATTATGAATTGCGCATACTTGATATCTGAAACTGCATCTGAGAAGGGGGCCGTTAACAAACCTGTATTTTTAATATTGAGGTTGTGATTATCTGTGTAATTTTTCTGGATATTTTGGGGTTTTACTCAAGATGATTTTATATGAAACAGAACTGAGCGAAAGTTTCGATACGCAGTGACCGTAGAGCATCCAAATTCTGAGTAAGATAATATTGGAAACTGAGCAACTTTTTTCTTTGGCATTTAAAAACTGATTTTTTGAGAATTTTCGAAAAAAATATCAAATTTAACAGATTCAGAGTAGCACATGACAAAAGGAGAGATAATTTTTTCCACTCATTTTTCAAACACAAACTAAATGCGGAGTCAACTTTTCATTATATTTATCATTAAAAAAAAACATCCATATGTCACGAACTATATGTGGGACACTATATACAAACACGCATATACACACACATTCATACAAATATACATAACTGAATTTTCAAAGTAATCAAAAAGAAAAAAGTAATATGAAGATCAAAGTTTCAATTAGAGGAGGAAAGCGGAAACCTTTTTGATTTCGATTTGAATTTTGTTTTTTGATTTTCATTTTCGTTTTTTTTGAAAAATTATTATATATTTCAACTTATAAATGAAATTCTTCCCTAATTCTGAGCTTTTTTGCTTTTTTTGCTTTGTCTTGTATTATAATCATGGATGATATTTATTTGATTGAAATTGAAACTCGAATAACTGTGATTTTTCCTAACAGAATGAATGAAACAACAAATTTTCGATTGAAAAATGAAGTGAATATTTAAAAGATCACGTGGTATATATAAATCTGACCTAGGTTCAATATATGCTAATTTGAATATACATTTCGAAATTTTATTTTGCAGTCTCCTCAGAGGATTTCTCACTGATGAATCAGCTGTTCCCCAAATAGAAAATAAATATTGTGGATTCGAATATACAGAAATACTGAAGGCTGTTGATTTGATTTCAGGCAAAAAGCAGGGAACCCCAAATAGATTTTTCTAGAACACCAGAGTGAAATAGAGAAATTGTGATTCAACACCGTCTATATTAACATTTTGCTGACGATTTTTTAAAAATGATCCAATCTATGAGACCTATAAATGAAAATATTTTAAATATTAATGTAGTTACCTAATTGTGTTGAAACCTTGAATAAAGTATGCAGGAGAGTGGTAGTACAATTGTATCCCTTGCAAAAACCTGACTGGATAGAGGATGATATTAAAAATTTTTCAAAATGTTCCTTCATCTGAAACTTTCTTGAATCATCAAATATTTTTCAAAATTATCTTTTTCAATTTTTTTTTATTGATGACAAAATCTTTCTTTCGTGTTCGTGTTCAATGTTTATATGAACCTAGCTTTTTCGAGAGGACTTTTCTTCCAGTTTATGTCTGAAAGTTACTTCTTTGCATGATCTACACATCTATGTATAGAGTTAATTTTTTTGAATTGATTGCATCCTTTCTTTCTTCGAAAGATTCCCACATTTTTTGTATACAGATAGAAAAGTAGAAAGTCAAAAAATATATATCCCTTTGAATCCAATGAACTGTTGTATTGAACGATTTCGTTATAATATTTTGAACTATTGCCGAAACCTTTTTAAATTTTCTTACATGAAGTTCGTTCGCAGGTCCTGTATGATTGTAACTAAAGGAGTCAGTATGGAATTTCAAATATGAATGTTCAAATTGTAGTAATTGGAAAAAAAAAATCATATTCATATGAATATTTTTGGATTTTTAGTGTGTGGTTTCGATATAAAATACAGTTTATAGACTTACTGACATGTACAGGTAGCACAAGTGGTAATAAACTCCTGAAAACGGCTTACAAATGACCAGGTAACTGACTGTTGAGTGATTTTGAATTATTCCAATATTTTCTGTACATTTTTTTGAAATGTTTCAAAAAGTAAATGTAGCAAAAAGTAAGTGTAGCAAAAATTTGAAATAAATACGGAGAATATTTTCCTCACCTTATACATAAGACCAAATTCTTCATAAGGTAATTTCTGTTCCTTAGGAACAACATCTTTGGCTAATTTGAGCAAGGGATCCTCGTAACCCCACAATAGCTGACCCACTGACACTTCAACGAAGGGTTTGATCTTCAAAATGTCCATAATGCTGGCCATCGCGAGCCTCAAAAACCTGGCGGCGTGTTTCGATTGAGAGGTGGCACTCTAAAAATAAGACATATGGTAACAGATGTTGAAGTATCGATGAATATTCATTGAACTGCAGTTTCAAGCATTTCTAATGAAAAATCAAATGAAAACTATGGTAGTTAGTAGGGTGATTAACGCATTCGAATGTTCGGAGCCAATCATTGTTACTTATCCCGAATGATCTATGATTCCCAATCTTTTTGAATTTATAAAATCCATAGATATTTCTAACTGAAACTCAAAATGGGATTGTCACAATTATTTCTTTCATCTGGAATAAAAAATGTGAAAAGACTAGGTACTTCATTGAGGAAGGAGTAGATGATCATTATTTTCATCATTTTTTATTTGGAGACAAATTTTAGAAATTTTGAAATGTTGAGAAATTAAATATACAAAGGTGGTTAACAATTTTTCATGGTTAATTTCATTAGTTCGGACTTTAATTGTTTAATCTAATATATAAAAATGGATGTTTGTTGGTTGGTTGGTAAGTGATAAACTTCTACATCGCTCAACCGATCGTGATGAAACTTGGACATGTATAAGTAATTTTTTATAGAGAAGGTTTTTAGGCTATCAATTTTTCCGTAACTCGCCACTAGATGGCGCTGCAGAACAATTTTTTGAAAGCACTGTTCTATAACGCTGCGCACGCCTAAGTTCGTTGATTTTGATTCTGTCAAAACATTGGAACGGCAGCGATACAGTAACATAGTACTAATTAGTATTACAACTACCTACGCGGGTGAAGCCGCGGGCAACAACTGGTATGATATGAATTGATTTGAAATCCCTGAAATAATCTATAGAAAATTAAAAAGATTAGCTGAAAAAAATAACAACTATACTAAGCAAAAAAGCTGAAATTACAATGAAATAAAATACAAGCTAAAATGAAGAAATAGAAAAATTCAACTATCAACACGAGATAAAAATTGAAAGATTCCAAGCCGAATTACTTCACGACGTTTCGATTGTTAGTATCCACAATCGTCTTCGGGCAATAAATGTACTTATCTTCGAGATCTGACTATTTATAGGTCATTCGAGTGCTTTCACATATCCCCTCTTCCCCCGCACCGCTTTATTAGTTTTAGCGGGAGCTGACCGGTTGGCGGGAGTTGGTCGTATTCCGCTTGATTATAGGTTTCCATATGTTGCTTATCACTATGATAGCTTGGCTAAATGCGTTGTTGGATAACATATATGCGGCTTCTTTGAATTTTCTCCTGAACCAGTATTCCTCATTGTGGATGATTTCAGCTTGAGACCACCTGGTATTATGTTGATGAGGCCAAACATGCTCTGCTATTCCTGTTTTGCTGGTTTCTTCTCGTATGATATAAAATGATTTGAAATCCGTGCAAGAACCAATACTATTGAAAATCATGTGATGACTGGTCATCACCCTGAGACGATTGTGGATACTAACAATCGAAACGTCGTGAAGTAACTTGGTTTGGAATCTTTTGATTTTTTATTTGGTTGATTGTTCAGTTTTCAAATTTTTTCTTGTATTTTATTTCATTTTAATTTCATTTCGAGTTTTTTTAACTCAATATAATTGTTATTTTCAGCTAGTTATTCATTTCAATTGTATTGTTTTTCCAGGAATTTCAAATCATTTTGTATCACATTTGACGATGGAAGTCCGAACTTATGAAATTTGAGGAATTCGTCATACCGTAAAATACGTTCTTGGCATGAGATTGTATCATCTTTTCTCAATGTTTTCATTCATTGATTTTGTTTTTATACAATAACATAACATTTTTATCTTTTGATGAAGGGTTAATGAACTCTGTAGCTTTTTGTTGCCTTTGATTCCTGAGTGTTCTGAAACCCAGCATAGAGACAATCTTTTCCTTCCCGTCTGTTTCTTCACTTCCTCTTCTTCTTTCATATCCATTCTTGGACTCAAAGCACCGAATGACGCATGAGTGCCAGTAAAAATATTAATCCTGCTCATTATGTTGAAGCTCCAATGTACGTAATGCAAAAAGGATTCGTTTCGACTGAATCCTACTAGCACGGATAATTCTCCAGTCATCATTAGTCCATTCCAGCGTCCCTTGTTATCACGATATGTGAAAAGAATAAATTCAAAATCCAAACTACTCTCCTACTCAACCTTAGGCCATCCATGAAGTCTGAAATCTTCTCCTTAACGAATCAACTCTGTAAAACCATCCTAGGCCACTCATTTTTCGCCACAGCCAGTGGCAATAAGGTGGACTTCACCTTCACTGAGATGGTCGCAGACCTGTACCGTCCTCGGTACAGTAAACGCCCAGGGCCTAATAAGAAAACGATATTACACCAAAGCTCTCGTCCACTCCAAAATATCCAAATCCTGTGTATTACCGACATTCTAACTAAAAATCTCCCAACTTCTCCGATTACAACACTACCCACCGACCAGAAGACACAATCCCGAGGCATTGTCATCCTAAGTAAACAAGTACTTGCCCACAAAAAGTACAACTTCCCACTCAACCTTTCTGATCATAATTGCCTTGCGAACGATTTACTTTCCAATTCCGGTAACTTAACAATTATGGCATACTACAATCATCCTACTCAAACTATCTCCAGAAAAATGAAATAATATGCAGCTTCTCTCCCCCAAAGCTTTCCTAATAGGAGATTTCAACTCCATATTTGAAAAATGTAACCATTTGAAGTGTTTACTCTCATCAGTTCTGTTTTGCTAGAATTAAAATTGTCGTTTTCATTATCAATAAATTGACCCGTTACTTGATGGAAATCAATAAAACTATCCATGATAAGACAAAATAAGTCCAGCTGGTGAAAGTAGTTCGACTGATTAAGCTACCGTGGAGCTAAATGCATCTCAGTGAAGTTATTAGTGTGAAAATCATCATGGATTTTTTATATTAGTTGCGAGAATACCACGGAATTCTTGCATCATCTTATCTTGAGTCGTGAAACCATGCTCGTCCAACTTTGTTATCAAATCACCTAGAGCCCACAATAAAGGTCATACCTTTCCTTGGTGATCATTTTACTTGAAGTATCTTCTTTCTGAGAAGATTCAGGTCTGGAGGTATATAATGATAAGCATTCCTATTGAAAACTTCATTACCTCCCATTACCAAATACGGCAATTTTTGCAGCTCTACTGGATACCTGGCAACGAAGTACCCCACTCAATTAAATTAAATGCCCCAAAAGGATAATTGCTTCCGAAAACCTCAAGGAAGTAGCTCCTATTACAATACAAAACCCATTAACATCACTCCAATCATCACGCAAATAGAAGCTGTCATCAGAATCCAAACTACTCTCCTACTCAACCTTAGGGCATCCATGAGGTCCCAAATCTTCTCCTTCACGAATCAACTTTGTAAAACCATCCTAGGCCACTCCTTTTTCGCCACAGCCAGTGGCAACAAGTTGGACATTACCTTCACTGAGCTGGTCGTAGGCCTGAATGGTTGATCGTCCTCGGTCCAGTAAACGCCCAGGGCCTAATAAGAAAACGATACCACACCAAAGCCCTCCTCCACTTCCAAAATATCCAAATCCTATGTATTACCGACACTCTAACCGAAAATCCCCCAACTTCTCCGGTTACAACACTACCCACCGCCCAGAAGACACAATCCCGAGGCATTTCCATCCTAACTGAACAAGGACTTGCCCACAAAAAGTACAACTTCCCACCCAACCTTTCTGATCTTAATTGCCTTGCAATCGACTCACTTTCCAACTAAACAATTATAGCTTACTACAATCATCCTACTCAAACTATCTCCAGAAAAATAATATAATATGCAGCTTTTCCCCCAAAGCTTTCCTAATAGGAGATTTCAACTCCAGACATACCCAATTCGGAGACACTAACTCCAACGCCAACGGAAGACTTCTAACCAATTTTCTTCTTGACCACAACATATACAGAGTACCCTGTCAGGCTCCAACGTTTTTGAGTCACCAGGGGGCTTCAATCATTAATCATATCCTATGCTTGATTATCGAGCCTTCATTGGGGACAGGATCACGTCGGATCACCTTCCCCTTCTTATCAAAACTTCTCTAAACTTCGAATTCTCGTAGTTCCTGATACCCTTTCCTACTTAAATCACAAATTCACAGACGGCAAACGATTCCACTCCCTTATCAACCAAAAACTTGCAACCCTTTATAATCCTTTCCTCGATCATCCCAGACAAATAGACTCACTAATTGACAAACTGCAAAAACTTATCCAAGACTCAGACGACATTGCCACCCCAACAACTACTAGACCAATCGACCAAACTCCACTTCCACCCTATCTAATAACACCTATCCAAAGCAAACGAAAACTATATAGAACATTCGTACGAACTAGAGACCCCGCCCTAAAGACGAAATGGAATTTGCTAAACTCACGTATACGTCTCCTCATCAACCAATTCATCCAGAAAAGGTTGATAGAGGAGACAAAAAAACTTAACTACAGGGATGGATTGGAATTCAAGAATGAATTCAAAGTCCTAACCGGACAAAAACGAAAATCCAACAGTCACCTAGTGATTGTCACTAACATAATTTCCAAACCTTCCGAAAAAGCTGAAGCCTTCCGCGAAAACCTCAAACTTACTTAACAACTTCCCAACCACGCACACTTCTACAACCTTCTGAGGGGCAGGCACCCCCGACAAATTTTCCTTGACCTAATCTATCCGTTAATAGCCCCAGTCAGCAAGGTTGACATCCTCAAAACCATTCAACACGGTAGAAATACCGCTCCAGGTCCCAACTCGGTGAATCGCTTAGTCCTGAAAACCCCCCCCGAATCCACCCTCGCTTTTCTCCAACACATCCTTGATGCATGTTTAGTAACATGCCCACTTCCCAAACGCCTGGAAACAGGCAAACACGATCCTAATTCCTAAACCACATAAAGATCTCACCAAACCAGAATTCTATAGACCTATCAGCCTGCTTAGTTGTCTGAGCAAATTGCTGAAACGAATGATGACCAACAGACTAAACAACTTTCT